CCCCCTTGTGAGAAAACAAAGATCGTTTTTGACAGAGATCGTTTGACAGTTTTTGTTGAAATTCGTTTGTTTTCAGTTCGTAGAAACTGGTAAGACTAGCAAGTTTTATTCCTTATTAATGTATATTTGATATATTTTATTGTGTATCATAAGCTTGGTTTCCGTATGGTCGTATATAAAACGGTAGTAAATATTGAGTCACGATATGTCGACATTTCTCAATTCTCATCAGATGAAATACAATATTTTAGAACTGAAAATACGCGGAGTGATTATAACTAGAGAATACTTATGATTTGTATGTGGTTTACAGGTATAAACTATCATAAACTGGCCGTTGAGAAAGATCGTGATTCTATTTTTACGACCATTTGGGATTTATACGGAAAGTATATATAATTTTCTGCTGGCTGAGGAACGAACAGGGTTTAGGCTTTCGCGCATGCACAAAGCCAAATGACCTTTAAAAAAAGGCCAAATTCTACTAAATAAGGCCAAATTTCATTTTTTTGAGAAAAGCCAAAAAAGAGCCAAATCTTATCAATATTTTCGACGTACATTGGTCAGGTTATCTCTACTCTCTAGGGTTAGAGAAGTGCAGTATGTTGATAGATAAAAAAATTCAAATTTTAAAGCAAATTTTGTCATTTTTCGGGATGGACCTCTGCGAAGACATTGCCAAAGGTTCCAACCCTCCCGATTTGATCGGGTGGCTCCCGATTTCTTGGCAAATCTCCCGATTTATATTTAAACCTCCCGATTTTATGAATGAAAAGAAAAAATGTTACTTTTTCTAAAAGAATCCTTGTAAAAGTCGTTTGCGTACGGTAAAAACGGTTATACGATCGACAAAAAAGCGGTATTTCGCCAAGAGGGGTGTTTTGTACGACAATGTTTCGTAATATTTCGCATGAAAGGCGGAAATTTACAGTTGTTGTATTCACGAGTCTCGGAATCAAGAAATGGCGCTTCTGAAAGAAAGTTTAAATTTTCTAAATTTTCTACCCAGTCACACTAGAGGTCAACATTTTCTTGCCTTTACCAGACCTCCCGATTTTTGGAGATGTCAAGTTGGAACGTCTGCATTGCTACAATGTTGTCATTGGTTAGTTTTTCGGCTTTACGATTGGCTGAATTCCTGAGATCTTATTGAGTGTCAATAAAATTTGGTTATCCTCTGTCAATGATACACAATTCTTACATTCTTCCATGTTGCTTTATGGTTTACGTTCCTCCATAATAAATTAAACTAAAAAATAGTGAAAATTCCTCTCACTTGATAAAAAAGCCAAAATAGAGCCAAAAGGCCAAACATTTTTTCAAGGCCAAACAAGAAATAAAAAAGCCAAAATCGAGTTATTTGGCCGCAAAAAGGCCAAGTTACCAACCCTGGGAACGAACGAAGCAGAAAATGTTCTCAGTCTCGCACACTGCTGGGGGCCAGCCCGATTAATGTAATCGGGCGGTGTGGGTTGGGGAAGCACGATTGTGGTTATGTTTCCATGTCATGCAATCACAAAACCTAATCCCTAACCCCTCTGCCCTAACCTTAGCCTCCTAACCAGTGCTCCTAACCAATCGTATTTCGTGACTTTGGTTGTTGCCATATCGTTGCTTGTTGTTCCATTCCCAACCTCATTCCCAGGGCCTGGGAACAAGGTTGCTCGACCTCTTTCCGTTCCTAGCATAGTTAATTTTTTACTAGTATTAAACTTACTACTAAAGTGGTTCTTTTCAAACCTGGTATAAAGAACTTGTTGTGCATTTTAGATCGATTATTTTTTGTTTGTTTTTTTGTAATTGTATGTAGCATATTTAGCTTTGTTGGCTTACTTGGCTAATAGTAATAATTGTCAAGCTTGCGGCCGATGTCCGATGGCTGCAGCAGCTCCCAGCTGTGTGTGAGAACTAGGCTTTAGCATACAGTAAAACCCCGCGTAGATTGAACCTAGATTGTAAGAACCTGTTAGGCTATAGTTGCTTTAATTTATACCCCCTCGACAACAATTTTGGAAAGTTTCTCCGGAAAATTTTTTTTGACAACGCGGGCACAATCCGAAAAAATCGGGCAAATTTCTTTCTGCCCCCCTAATTTTTTCCTTCCCATATGCCCATGCTTATATCTCATTCACAACACTTCTCTACTCCACAGATTTGCTCTTTCAAAATGGCTTTTGCACAATGGTTAGCCATCTTAATCCTTGGTTTGCTTCCTGCACTATGTTCAGCCACAGTCAAACTAGACGGCCAAGGACAGTCATTCTCCTCTGTTATCAAACAGTTTGAGTACAGTACACGTGGCAATGAACTAACATTGTTTGAAAAGAAATCTGTTGATGAACCTGGATACGTTACAGAACAGTGGTTTACTGGTGGACCATTTGACCAGTATGCAAGAATACGGATATACATTGATGGTGAAAGTGAAGCCTCGTTAGATTTCAACGTCAGTATGAGCGGTGCTGTTGATGCGGCTGCCGAGAGAAAGACACCATGGTCTACTAGAATGTTTGGTCGTTTGGCTAATAATGGTGGCTTTTTTAATACGTTTAGAATACCTTTTTCATTTCATATAAGAATAACTCTGACCAATACTCATAGTACCGGCGCACTTTGGTGAGTAAAATAATGTACTGACTGTAAAACAACTTAATAAGCCTTTGGATGCCAGCACTCTTCCCTTGACGAGTAAAATTGTCTGGCATAAGATAGAGTAAAATAATAATGTTAGGGCATGTTTGGATGCATGGCAGCTTAATGGCAGATAGTCTGTTTAACCCATTGAGCATCAATGCTCTCCCCTTGACAAGTAAAATTGTCTGGCGGTAGACAGAGTAACAATTAATAATAGTAACAAATTATTTCATTTCGCCTTTTTCCTTTCCACGGATGTTTCCCTTTGGAATGATTCCAGCTATTGACTAATTTTTCATCTAGACAAGAAGGACGAATTCTATCATGATTATACTAGCTCAAAAGCACATCCTAAAATTAGTAAAATGGCAAAGTTTGGTTGCGAAATGTTGTAAAATACGGAAAATATAGCCCTGTGGAATTAGCAAATTTTGAGTATTAAATATGTAATACTAAAATACTCAAAATTTGCTAATTCCACAGGACTATATTTTCCGTATTTTACAACATTTCGCAACCAAACTTTTACTCATTTTAGGACAGGGTGTTAGCCAGGATTTCAAAAGTGGCCGTCCAAAATAATTTTGTGGGTGTGGCAACATATTTTTGTGGGCGTGGTCACATGTTTTTGGGTGTGGCCGCAATTTCCTGTTGTTGAGGAATTGTGGTGTTTTATTTGTTGAACCACAGTTAATAGATCTAGAGGTTGAACCATTCTACTTTTAGTTTTAGATGCACATTTCCGTCATTAAATTAGTAAAAGCACTGACGTATGGTATGATCACTACCGTAACTGTAATGTGGCACTTGAGTGATAAAGCGATTGCTGTTTTTTAAAACAGCGGTTTCACATTATTCTCCTTGATACTTCATGTGAGAATCATCAAAATGGTTACAAAAACATGGCGCGTTTTACAAAAATATGGCGCGAAGTATTCAAGAAATATTACAAAGCTTGTAGGTTGCTATTTAAAGAAAATATTCCCTTAGGCCGTCCATTAAAATTTAGCAGTCTAAATTCAGAAGTGGCCGTCCATAGGACGGTCGGGCGGCCGCCTGGCTAACACCCTGTTTTAGGATGCTCTTTTGAGCTATAATGATATATTTTGTCCTTCTAGTCTGGATAACAAAATATTCGAAGCTGGAATCATCTATTTCCTGCATACCATCAGATGTTGCCATTTTCAAATTGTCAATTGTACCACATTAGGAATGTATAGTCACATTGGGCTATTCCAATTATTATTCGCACCCCCCTGTTGAGGAACCTTGGAATTTCCAGGGGAGGGCGTGTATTAACCTTGGAATTTCCAGGGGAGAGGTGCATTAACTTTAAATTTCCAGGGGAGGGAATTAATACATTAACCCTGGAATTTCCAGGGAAGGGGGCATTCAGGCTCTGGATTTCCAAGGGGATGAGTAATTCTCACATGGAATTTTCAAAGGGAGGGGTAAATTTGATGGGATGGAAATTCCATGGGAGGACATTTGTTAGAGGGAAATTTCCGGGAGTAAATGTCCCATGATGGAAATTCCATAGGGAGGGGTAATTTGCACATGGAAATTCCATGGACAGGGCCAAATTTTAAATGGAAATTCCATGGGGAAGGCCTAATTTAAGATGGAAATTCCATGGGGAAGGGTAATTTTTACAAGGAAATTCCATGGGGAAGGGGTAAATTTTACATGAAAATTTGCGGAAATTCCAGGGGAAGTACCGACATGAGAAAGGGGTTCCTCAACAGGGGGGTGCAGATAATAATTGGAATAGCCATTCCTGAATGTTTTGACACAAAAACATTACACTTCTTTTGAGTGAAAGGAAGGATCTGTCATTTTGGTGATTCCATTAATGTTTTTAATTTTTCCCAAGGTATATTGTGCGAGGATTGCTTGGTGTTAAATTAGCGGTTGGGTCATTTGAATTGCCAAACAAAACAAGACTCCGGGTTTACAAACAGGACAAGGTCATAGCTCCATTTGACTTTGTGACCCTTTCGAATACGAGTAACAAGTCTGGAATGTTATTCCTTGTCACATTTGACATTCGTAGCGATACAGCCACATTTATGGAGGGATGCGTGCGTGCAAAGATCGACAATTCTGACGAAATTACATTTCTCTCCTCTGGCACGGAAGATTTTTTCCTATCGGCATTCTACTTCAATGATAATTCTTATGAAGGCTTTCAATCTGGACTAACTTACAAACCTACAAATACAAATTATACTCAAGTTGTTGCATATAAATTTTTTCTGGACGACCCTATCTTGTTCAAAGACTCGTTTCAATTGATCTGGCGAAATAATGAGGTGCTTGGTGGTGAAAAAGGATGTCCTGATCGATTTCCAGCATACTTAAAGGGAGAAGGCAAACCCACCGACACTTTTCCAGGAAAAAAGAGGCAGTGGGCTTCTATGAACACGGCACCTAAGAAAGCCTATATACGGAGTTATGTTTGGGTGTATGAGTGGTAGTTTTGTTTCAATGTTAGATTGTTTTTAATAATGTTGAATTAATTAATTGCACAGAGTAGGTTTGTATTCAGTATGATAACATTTCGTAGAATAATTATATCATTTTTCTCTGCTTATGTAGTAAACAGGACCCCACTGAAAAACACTTTGGTGATGTGGGTATCCTGGATAAATATGAAGATAATAATAATAATAATAATAATAAAACCCAGTAGTATTATTAAGTATTAAGTGTTTGTAAACGTTTGGCCAATCATTTGCACTTTGAAAACTTGTCAAATGGAGTAAGATAGTTAATGAAATGGAAAAACACAAGAGACAAAAGGCTCTTTCATTTTCCAATTAAATAATCATTGTTCATTTTATACATGTATTATCTGTATTGAAATAATATAACAATTGGGGTATTCTCCAATATAGTGTGTAATAATTAATAAACTACATTATGTAATATTTGCCTTAATATTTTGCCCACAGTAGGCTACTTGCTAAAATTGTATTTTCCCAATTGGAAAAATAATAATACTGTAATTACTACCAATTCATGTTAATAGTGGTGGATTTTGACTCAGTTCTATATCTGCAGCCCTGGTGGCATTCAATGGATTCACCTTGCTATTCTTAATACCATAACCAAGATAGATAACTAGACCTAAAGAAAAGCACAGGTTATTATTATATTTATATTTATCCAGGATACCCACGTCACAGAAGTGTTTTTCAGTGGGGCCTGCATTATAAATTTCAACTTCAATACATATATATTACAAAATAACATGAAAATCTACAATAACATGTGTTAACATACTTATACTATATATATACAAAACGTTTATAAATAACATTGTGGGAAATATGCAGCTTTGGTGAGAAAGTAGGTAGGGGTGCACCGGAACTCGGTTCAGGTGCACCCCTAATGTGGTGCACTCAGGTATTATAAACTCGAACAATCTGTGCCAGTGGTGGGTAGTGACAAAAATAACAGAAAATTGAGATGAATAGGGATTCAACTACCTGAAAAATATGAGTAAAACTGACATTTCAAGCCAAGGCCCTTCGTTGGGAAGTTTCTGACAAAGGGCCTTTGCTCGAAACATGTCAGTTTTACTAGAATCATGTGTTAACCCATTAAGTATTTGCATTGTGCCCCAATGCACCCTACTTTATTATTTTATTCTGTCTAACACCAGATGATTTTACTGTCAAGGAAAAAGTGCATGCTAGTGCCCAATGGGTTAATTTATAATAAGACAATTTTTGACAGTATTACACAAGTGTGCCTGTCCTTTTTGTCCACATTTTTTGCTTTTTTCTCTCACTTAATTGGTTATATATTTAATAAATATGTACAAATATATATTGAAAGTTAACCAGTCAGCAAAGGAGGACTGAAGTGCCCATGCAAGGTGCCCTCCCATTAAAATAAAACGTGAATAGTAATCAACATCAACCAGCTTGATTGATTTGTAACCTGAGTTAAGTAATGGGTTAACTGGTTAAGCATGGTGCATTGTGGCTTGCTGGGGTGAATAAGACCTATCCTACCATTTCAAATACATACCAAATACAGTATTGATGACAAACAGTATCCATGCCCACATACTAAACTGAAACATGACAAACGTACATGCAGCAAAGCAGACAGTCGGCAGCATTGGAAACATTGGGATTGTAAATGGAAATTTTAATATTTGATGCGGGGTTCTGTATATAACCACCATAGATGCCAACAGTGGGATGGTGAAAATAATACTTAGGGCAACAAAGAGGGGTGTTTCGAGTTTGTAGGATATCCCAAAACGAATAACCAAAGATATACCAGCTGATGATAGGAATAGTACTACTAATGCAATTATAATTGTTGACTTGGCTTTTCTTCCGAATAAAATGTTCATTTGTGATAACAGTGGATGACCATTCATTAAGTTGTCTGTAGCTGAAGCAATTTGATGCGACTCTGTACTGTTAGGTTGTGCTTCATCATCACAATTAATGTTCACTACATCGTTAGCACCATGTTCTTTGTATCGTAGCAGTATCACAGTGATGGCCAATGTCACATATGGTATTAATGCTAGTATGGAACATACCTCAATTAAAATTGTTAAATCAACAAATGCTGTTAGTATAGTCGCTATGAAGCCAGTGACCAAAACTGCTTGGATTGGTACTAATGATTGCTGGTTAACTTTGTGAAGAAAACTCACTAGCAAGCCGTCTCTTGCCATGACGTATGTTAGACGAGAGTTTGCATAGCATGCGGTAAGAACAGAACTAAAACAGGAACAAAATCCACCAAATGCTATGACATATTTCGACTGTTTGAATGCGACCATTGCAAAAGCATCAGACAAGGGCGACACTGTCGATAGTTGGTTATATGGGATGATCAAAGTTAGTACAGTCCCAATACAGAAAAAGCAAATGAATACACCAATTAACGAGGCCATTATAGACCTAGGTAAAATTTTCTGTGGGTTTATAACTTCTTCAGTGGAAAAAGTTATAGAAACAAACCCAGCGTAGAAAAATATGGTAAACGGTAGTGACTTTAGGATACCGTTAACGCCATATGGAGCAAAGTTGTCCCAGCCCGACCAGTGGTCAAAATCGATGTATACAAGTCCAGTAACGAATATAAACACGATGACCAATAAATTAATTGCAACAATACCATCGTTGATCCGCACTGAACTTTGGACGCCCATTGCAGTAATAATGGTTACAAGTATAATAAGTGCTGCGGCAACAATGTTCACATTGGGGGCAAGCAGGGCATGGTCAGGTAGGGTGGCATGAGCATCCAAATAATTGAATGTAGCTGAATCAGTAAGTGACCTCAGCAAATCTGCGGCACCTTGCGCCAGCGTAGCAGTGGCAATCACAGAACCAATTAAAATGGACCATCCGTCCAGAAAGCCGCAGAGCTCCCCTAAAGCCGAGTACACGTAGTCGTAATCTGACCCAGATGTTGGCACGTAGGAGCCAAACTCGGCGTAGCATAATCCACTTGCAAAGCACAGAAAAAAGCCAATTATCATTGAGATGACGATTGATGGGCCGCAGAGATCTCTCGCCACATTTCCTAATACAATATACAACGCCACATCGACTGAGCCGCCGACCCCGAGTAAAAATAGGTCCCAGAAAACTAGACAACGACGTAGCGGCGACTCGAAGGTACTTTCGATCGCTTTTCGACGAGTAAATGCTGCAAAAACATTTTTAAAACTACCAAAAGCCATTTTATTTTGTGCTTGTATTAAAATTGTTGAAATTCCGTAATTTCCGTGGCACAGTTGCCTTTCAGGGGTTGCCTTTGTGACGTTTTCATAGCCTGCGCAACAGTGTGACCATATATGCAAATTTTTTTACTAAAACTGCTTAAAATTGGTTGGCTGCCCCCTCCTGTTCTTAATGTTGCAGTTGTTTAAAGCAGGTGGGGTTATCTAAGGGCATCCAACCGGATCTGGTAATAAAATGTACTGAACCTGGTCACACTGCTGCGCAACATAGTGCGCAAGCACTGGCGCACTCTGCGCCGCAACGCCACTTCCGCTTCGGAAATTGCTAGATAGTATCTGCTTCAAAATAATTAAGGTTTCCGTAATTCCGTATTTTTTTTCAATTTTTAAAATAAATTAGGGTTAGGTTAGGGTTGGGGTTAGGGTTTAGTTTTGCGTTAGGATAGTTTTTTCTACGTTATAAAAACAGAAACCTTCCGCTTCCGTATTTTTCGAATGGCATTTGTCATCTGACGTATTAACGCGCGATATTTTAAAATTCACACGTGTCAATATAATAATAATAATAAACACTTTATTTAAACAGGGTGACTAGAGTTACACAAAGTTATTTTCATCTAGTAATTTTCATATGGCTGCAACTGTAGGAAATCTGTAGGAAATCCATTACATGTATTAAATTTTGGCCTTTCAAAACCGTGAAAATTCCTTACAGTTCGTCCTGATACACTCATAAAGATGGACAAAGCATTAAAAATGGTACGTTTTCCTATAAAACATGTATTTGTAATTTTTTGCCATACACTCATACAGGATTGTCAGATATTGATGACGGAGTGACTTGAAAGTTTGCCCGATTGTAATGAAATAACCCAGTAAAATAATGATATAAGTACCCTGGGTTTAACATATGGTCTTATAAATTTGCCCGAATTTTGTTGATTTGTCCCAGTCATAGATATAGGATCTATGGTCCCAGTATGTGCCCCAAATATTTCCTTGGTTTTCTACTCCTTTGCAGGGGCGGCAGTTTTACTCCATCCTGCCCCATGATTGTGAAATGCAGACAAACACAACTGAATTGAAAAATCTATCAAAATCCAACCAGGAGACAGTCAGATTCACTAATATTGTTTCCAATGAAAATAAACTTAATCTGTAACAAGGATAACAGAAATCCTAATACCTGTCCATTTGCACACATTACACGCTGCCAAATTGTTTTTGCATGCACAAGATCTCATCAAGTTTTAATACCCTACTTTGCACACTAGATATCAATGCAAGTTATACTCAAGTTTGTTGCATGTAAATTTTTTCTGGACGACCCTATCTTGTTCAGAGACTCGTTTCAATTGATAATGCTTGGTGGTGAATATAAAAAAAAAATTATGGAAATTATGAAATACACACCCAGGAATATGGATGTCCTGATCGATTTCCAGCATACTTAAAGGTAGAAGGCAACCCCACTGACACTTTTCCAGGAAAAAAGAAGCAGTGGGCTTCTATGAACACGGTGCCAGATGCCTAAGAAAGCCTATGTACATAGTTATGTTTGGGTGTATGAATGGTAGTTTTGTTTCAATGTTGAATTGTTTTTAATAGTGTTAAATTAATTAATTGCACAGAGCAAGTTTGTATACAGTATGAAATCACACGAGAAATGATATTTGTAGATGCATAAATTGTAGTTTTACAAAGCATTAGTAACATTTCATAGAATAATTATATCATTTTTCTCTGCTTATGTAGTAAACTACTAGTAGTATTATTAAGTATTTGTATAAAACGTTTGGCCAATCATTTGCAGTTTGAAAACTTGTCAAATGGAGCAATTAAGATAGATATGATTAATGAAATGGAAAACACAAGTCAAGAGACAAAAAGCTGTTTCATTTTCCAATTAAATAAATACATGCATTATCTGTATTGAAATAATATAAAAATTAGGGTATTCTCCAATATAGTGTGTAATAATTAATAAACTACAATATGTATAATATAGTTAATAATAATAATAATAATATGTATATGTAATATAATATGTATTATTATATATGTATTATGTAATATATATTATAATATGTATTATAGTTGTTTGCCAATAACTATAATATTTGCCTTAATATTTTGCCCACAGTAGGCTGCTTGATAAAATTGCATTTCTCCAATTGGAAAAATAATACTACTGTAATTACTAACAATTCATGTCAAAAGTGGAGGATTTTGACTCAGTTCTATATCTGCAGTCCTGGCATTCAGTGGATTCACTTTGCTATTCTTAACACCATAACCAAGATAGATAACTAGACCTAAAGAAAAGCACAGGTTTATAAATAACATTGTGGGAAGTATGCAGCTTTGGTGAGAAAGTAGGTGGTTGTCCACAATGGAGGAATCATGTATTATAAACTCGAACAATCTGTGCCAGTGGTGGGTAGTGACAAAAATACCAGAAAATTGAGAGGGATTCAACTACCTGAAAAATATGAGTAAAACTGACATTTCAATCTGACAAAGGGCCTTTGCTCAAAACATGTCACTTTTACTTTAGGTGGTTGCATTCCTATCCATCTCAATTTTCTAGAATCTTGTATTAACCCATTTACCCTGGTTCCAGAGGTTTAAAATAAACCTCTGGTTGAAAGCGGCAATTGATTCATCGAGCCGTGCCAATCAGTTTGAATTAGGGTCAGATCCTGACTCTGTCTCCTGATTGGATAATTGTATTAAAGCTCTCTGATTGGTTATAGATGTTTTATTTGAATCAATCAGCGAGAGCTTTAATACAATCATCCAATCAGGAGACAGAGTCAAGCACCCTACTTTACTGCGGATTCAGGTTGAGTGTTTAATGACGTCACGATCAGGTGAACGTTCCAACAGATAAACGCGGGTGTTGTCAAGTGGCAAATTATATGTTGCTAAGGGCGGGAAGGCATTTTGTTCTTGTGTTGTTTACACGTGTTCGCATTTGTCAGAGATGGATAACATAATCGAAATTCAGTTTGACTACCTTTATTATTCTAAGCGAAGGGTTACCCCGTTATTTATTAGTACGGATGAGTTATTGTCTTACAGTTACGATGGATTTTGCTCTCGAATGTTACAAGAAGTTCCTCATATTGCGAAGATGCTGCTGCCAGCCGAATCGTTGCGAATGATTTTGGCGGAAGATAATCGACCAGAAATTGACTTGTCTCACAAGTACTTTCAGTCCCAGATAGCACGACTGGTAAATAAAGGACTAAAAACAATCGTCATTCGTATTGCCGAAAATGAGTCACCGCTACCTGCACAGCCAACACAGTCATCGAACAGTACGTGTAAAAGCCAACATTTGACAGGACAATCTCGAAGCAGACGTTGTCTATATGTATCTCAAAACGTCGCACAAAACAACGTTGATAAACAAGGAAACCTAAAGATTTTGTGTGTGAATGACAACAGCTATAATCTTGGTTGTAGTACCACTATAAATTCAAGTCCTGAACCAGTTTTACCTTTAGAACGACACGTGAAAAGATACGAGGAAATTATTCAAAACATTGACAAAGAATTAACGGTGAAAAAAATTGAACTCAAAGACCTTGATAACAAGCTTGAAAGGGCAAACATGCAAAACACTGGGCATCTTTCAACATGTGGAAATTGCCATTTAAAATTAGGACACACCAGAAAATCATGCCATTTCAGTCCATGCAAATCTGCATTTTCGTGCGGGATACTTTCAAAGCACGCGAATCAAAAATCTAATCGAGCAAACATTAACAAAGACGTAGAAAAACTAGAAAGCCAGTTACGAAAAGCAAAACATGATCTAGAAAGTGCGAAATCGGCCGTGGAAAGAACAAATAACTCTGCAGATAAAAGAATCGAGGACATCATTCTAAATGAACAGCCTCACAGATATAGTACATCTTGTGGGCGCAGAAATTGGCTAATTTTGAACAAGGATGTTGCCCTTTTGCAAAGCAAATTAAAGGGTACTCTCCCAACTCGGAAAAACGTTCTGAGTCTTTTACATTCGGTTGTAAACAAAGAATCACAAATGACACACACGGCTACATCCTCGGCTACATCAACTCAAACACGGCGAGATACTGATCACAGGATGGCCCCCCAAAAGAGAGTTCTTGAAGAACAATTTTCTATCCAATTTCCAACAAAGAGACAAAACAGTGCCGCAAGCAGTAACCCTATATTTGTACATAGTCAAGAAAAAGACGATTTTCGCTTAGCCTTGCAACTACAGCAGGCGGAAATGGAATCAACTACCGAAAACGAAAGTTCGAGCACAGCAGTCGAAGTCTTTCAACATGATATTGATGAAACTCAGGGTGCAACATCTGACGAAGAATACCTACAGATGGAAGCAGAAGCGGCGGCAGCGTTATTACACCTGCAGAAACGAAAGAGCAAAGAGTAAAATTGTATAAAAATATAACGAACTTTATAGTTTTCTTCAAAAGGTAGCTATACACATTTCTATTTTTAGTACAAACTTGTTTATGAAAGTCACTCATTTTGGTATAGCACAAGTTATTATATATTGTCGTTGTTTTAATTTTGTTAGGGTTTGTATAGTTTTGAACTCTAGTTTAGTTGAATACTTATACTATGACACTACAAAAACATTTTCTTCAGTATCTAGTTTATACTGTACATATATTTGATATTAATCATAATTTAAATAAGTGAAATATTTGCGGCATATCACAGAAAATGACGACTGTCATTATTTAATATGTGTTTGAGATAAAGTATATACAGCATGCATTGCACTTAAACTTGTAGGTAACCAGTGACTTCAAAAAATCCTTTCATGTCACTTGGGGAAATTAACTCCAGAGAAGTGTACATGTTTTGGATACATTGAGCGACAGTAATGTCAGTGTTATTACCGAAGCTGTATTTCATGACGGTACGCATCTTACCGAACACATATTCCGCAGGGTTAAAGTCCGGAGAATATGCAGGCATGTATACTAGTTCAATCTCCAGGTCGTTCAGAAATTCTTGTAGAATTTGACCGCCTTGGTTATGATGGGTGGCACAGTTGTCCATCACTATAACTGAACCTGGCTCTAAAACAGGTCTTGCAGTTCTTGGGTTTTCTGAATGATAAGCTTCTTCAAAAAATCTAAGAAAATCTATAGTATCTGCACTACCATTTACTGTGTTGGCGTAATCGACCCCTGTCAAAGAACACATAAGATTGACTGTTGTGTTAGGCGTTTCCGCGTATCGTTGAAGTTCAATTGCTCGTTCCCCAATAGGAGCGTGTCCGTAAGTTCGCGAGGCGTGTTGAGGAAGTTTGAGACCACACTCATCGAAAAATTTTAGCGTGTATGGATCCTTCTCATGTAGGTAATCTATGAAAAGCTGTGTGTATGCCATATTTTGTAGCGTAAACCGTTCTTGGGCGACAATATTTAACTTTTTAAAGCTGTACTCTTTACCACTAGGCAGCCGATGTCGAACTGCCTCGGACAATGCTGTCGTTGAAGTTGTACCGTACGGCAAATCGCCAAATTCGTGCAATTGTTGCATGATTTCATCGTATGTAATTGTAGGTTTCTGCTGTTTCAGAAATTCAACGTATTGTAGGTCCCCTTGAGAAAGGTGGCTTGGGTTGCCACCTGTATTTTTCTTCGGACTAATGCTACCATCTTCGCAGTAGCGCTTCCAAATATTAGATACAACAGCTGAAGATACCCCTAACTGCCGAGCAATATCAGTGTATTTTCCATGGAAAATGCCTGTTGCACGATTACCCCCATTATTAATGATTTTATTGATAATCAACAATCTCAAGTCATGAGATAAAGGTTTTCCTTGAGCATAAAGTCGACCGTGCTCGTTTACGCGCCACATTTTTTTGCTATTGTAACGGTTCTTGTAGATTGTATTTTTTTCCGCGTTTATTTGAATTTAGAGAATTTAGCAGTAGTATTTTTGTTAAAAGTGCTATGTATATATATAATCTTTCAAGTGTTATAAATATTTGTAATGGAAATCGAAAATAAATGCAAAAGTGAAGGCTATAGAGTGCATATGTATTGTAATTTGACAGCTAGCTGAATATAATTTTGTGCATAGCAACATATAATTGCATGCATGGCAACAACTGCGTTCAGTTGTTGTAACGATCATGCGGTCATGACGTCATTAAACACTCAACCTGAATCCGCAGTAAAGTCTCTTATATTTTGTTTCCTTGTTAGCACGCCTCGTGTTCGATTGCTTTATATAAAGTCTCTTATATTTTGTTTCCTTGTTAACACGCCTCGTGTTCGATTGCTTGCTAGCCTTGCTTGACGCGACATTGCGTCGGCCTTTAATTTATTGGTGTTTTTTCTTTTCAAAATTATAAACATTTTTGTAGCAGTGCCTTTCGAATTTCTGTATTTTGAGGTCATATATTTTAGGAAGTGGATATTCATCACAGGGAGCAGAGGAGTCGAGTTTATCTAGTAAAACAATACAAACGCCGTCTTACCTTGTTAATTGTAATATCTTTCATTGTAGAATCCCCATGTGTGCATTAAAAATGCATATTTTACAATTTATAGTCTGTTAAAATTGTCGTGAAACCATATAAAGTTTATAAACATTGTATGCCTTGTATGATTTTTTATTCGTACTTCATGTAACATGAACACCAAATGAATATACTCTGCTGTTCTAGATTATCGTGGGCTCACATTTCGCTATACTTAGTAAACAATAAGAAACGAAGAAAGGGAGGAAACAGTCATTGGGGTGATATTTTAGGATGGCTATAACTTGCTTAGTATTTCATAAAAAAACATAATTTTTTGCATGCAAGCTAGAAATGATCTATTCTTACTACGCTAGGAAATAAATTTCAATAAACGGTCGTTTAACCTACATATTTGACGACCGATATTCATCGATTATTTTCGTACGATGTGCACCGCAACACCCTATGACGGAAGTGACGTATTCTTTCGTGTTTATGCATGATTATTCAAATTTTTCGAATACTAATTACAACTGTCAAATGAAGTTCTGCTTCGTCATTGGTCAATGGCCGGTTTTATTCACTTCCGTCATAGGGTGTTGCGGTGCACATGCGACGAAAGATCTGCAATGTTTCCTCCCTTTCTTAGTTTCTTACTCGTTGATATCTCGGACAGTGTTCGTTAGCTTTTCGGGAAATACAAGTCTACGGTAATTCAAGGCAGCGGAGTATATTAATTGTTGAAATTCATATTTTGGTTTTATATTCGATAACTTTGACGAATAAATATGTATTTTTAATGCACACATTGGGATTCTACAATGAAATATACTAGAATTAACAAGGTAAGATGGTGTTTGTGTTGTTTTACTAGATAAACTCGACTCCCGGAGGGTTTAAACTGCAGGTGTGCAGGTGTGCAGGTTGCAGGTGCAGGTGTGCAGGTTTGATATT